ATTATTAAAATATAGAATTATATATTTTGCCAAGCTCTATTATATCCAGATAAAATCTATTCTACTATTACTTGTGGCATTTTGTCTTGTAAGGGTTTGTCTTTTTCCTTCCATATTACTTATATATTTAGAAAGATCCATTCATCAAAAAAGTTAAATATAGAAATTTCTGGATACCATAAGGGTCTGAAGCATGCTCTAGAGAAGGATGCTCTATTATTTAATAGGTTGTATACTGCATTGAAATCATTTATTATAATTTATTGCATACATCTGCTCAAAATATTTTTGAGTTAATAAATTTTTTCTGATCTGCAATATAGTTAAGTTAGTATAATTTTAAAAAAATTGTAAAAATTTAAACTTACAAAATTTTTATGTTAATCATACTATCTTTACTAAAACCAATGTTCACAAACAATATATTCTTTATTTATAAACCATAGGACAAGAAAAAAAAATCTTTTAGTTTTCTTCTTAGAAAACAAATATTTGAATATAATAAAATAGGCAGAACAAATATTGTATAATACATTTTACAACTATTGTTATCAAATCAGTCAATAGTCAAAAGTGATTTTTCTACTAATAATTTATTTGATAAGATAATGTTCAAGTAACCATATCAATTGAAATCCATATCATCATTGAAATTAAAATGAAAAACAAAATTAAAATAGAAGTAATCAATAAAAAAATTAGAGGAGACATTATAGCAAAACAGCAAATATATAAGACAAGAAATAAGAAAATATCTAGTATCAATTCATATCATATTAAGAAAAATAGAAATTTCAAAATAAATATATTTACTTCAAGACTTTTAGGAGAAACCAACAGAACAAATAGCATATATCCAGAACACATTAGGCTTATCAAAAGACTCTTACCCCTTCACAAAATAATTTATCAATAGTAATGCTTAATCAACTTTCTGTTGTAAAGAGAAAGAAAATATATTACAATGTCTGAAAAAAATCAATAAAAAAGAAGATCTCAATTTTACTATCATATCTCTAAAAATAAATAAATAATTAAGTTCCAACCACCCACTAAACAAAAAAGTGTTTTAGAAAACAGGAGGAGAAGAAAATATTATTAATACTCACCTTGACAAATATTAACTGAAATTACTTATATCAAGAAATCAATATGGTTTTTAGTCAATAAGAACAAATAATGAAGATTGATATTTATAATTACTTATGGTCACAATACAAAATTAAAGCACATATCATTTCTTACAAACAATATACTGACCTTGAAAAAAAATGAATAATCCATATCAAAGCAGAAACTATTAGAACTATTTTTTCTCAAAATAAATCTAATGATAAAGAAATCAACAAAATATCAAACAGTACAACTTACAATTCTTGTAACTATATAAAATGTATAATATTACTATTGGGCTGATTGCAAAAGCACTTAAACATATCAAAACCAGAGTATACTACATTCTTAAAAATCTATATATACTCAAAAGAAGAGGCTATATTATAATTTGTTTTCAATAGTATAAGATCTCAACAATGCCTTAAAATGATATATTTGTAAACTCACATGAAGTATAAGAAAATATTTTAAATAAGAACAAAAGTGTTCTCAAAAGAGATAGAATTTTAATAAAGTTAAAGAATCTAACAATAAATTCATATAATTATACAAATAACAAACTGATGGTATAAAATATATCAAACTAATATTAGAAATAATAATCCAGTTAATATATAATATTGGAGAATAAATCAAAACTGAGATCAAGAAAAGGACACATTTTAATAGAAGAAAAATAAAATACAATCCTCAAGGCAATAAACCTATTATTAGCAAAATATAGATTCTCAAATGTTTCATTACTAGTAATAACAAAAAACTTATTAATTATCACAAAAGAAGAAAAATATATAACAAATCTGAAAATCTCTATCCTAAAAGTAAGAGTGACCAAAATTCAAATCATTAGATTTCTAACAATCCCAAGTGATTGAATAATAGAATAAATTTAATTGAGAAAAAAACAGGTAATTAAAATAGAGTAAGAGATAGGTAATAAAGCAATTACTCCTAAAAGTAGCCTCAATTCAATTAAGATATATCAAGAAAAAATCTGATCTACAAAAGAAATCAAGCTTATTTTGAAAAAAAAATATAATTATTAAGATAACAGCAGATATTAATACAACCCCTTTCAATACAATACATATCATACTATTTGATGATTTTATTAGTATAATAAAAAAAAAACATTATTGATAAAATAAACAAAAAATAGATACTATATAATAATTATATTATAAACAACTTTATATTAGATAATATTATTATATTTAAGACACATAATATTAGAGGTATCAATACTAGTCTTAATCAATAGGGTAAAAATATTGGATATTCTTATTGCACTATATACAACTCCTTGAAACACAACAATTTCAATTTTAACTAATTGTAATATTATAGTTAAGACATAGAAATTTATTTGTTTATAAACAGATATTTTAACAAGGACATGAACAAAGATCACCAACTGATCAATATAAAGTAAGATCAATGACCTAATAAAAAAAAATGATATTTTTTTGAAAATTATTGAGGTTAAGACTTATAGGATTAACAAGTTCGATAATTAAACAGATCTACTTGTTAATAAGCTAAATATGAGAATATGATAATCTGAAATCAACTATTAGAATTAAAGAAAATTTTTACAATAGCTATATGAAACAAATATACAATAAAAATTAGTATTAGAGAATTTGTCAAAACATTAAATAAGAAAAGAATTGGAAAAGATTTAATAATACAGAAAAGGATTCAAAAGCTGTGGATCCAAAAAGATAAAATTATAAATTGACCAATCTTCTGAAATCAATTCAATCCATCCAATACCTTCAATACCTTTTTCAAAGCTAATAAAAACAAAAGCTTCTTAACTAACTTAACCTACAATAAACTTCTAATATTGCAAATACTCAAGAAAAAGAAATAAGATATTTCTACTATAACAACTTTTCTAATATATAAACTTCAAAAAGAGACATTAGAACATTTTTTTAAATATCTGATTATCAAAAAAGCCAGAGAAAATATATAATAGAAAGCAAAAAAAAAAATCAATTATTATATTTATAAATAAATCAAAGATAAGAAAAAAGTTTACTTTACAATCAATAATTGAATATATAGATAATTAAATAAGATCCAGCAATCTAACAGAAATCTTTTCAATATTATTTATGAATACATGAAAAAAATAAAATCACTTTCTTGAAGAATTATTTTAAAGCTCAACTCAATATTCCCTTAGTATCTATATAAAGCATAATTAATAAGCTTTGTCATAAAATAAAAAAAACATCAAGGAGAATATCTGAAATAACTATTGCACTAAAGTAATAGAATAAGAAAAGAAGTAGAATATTACTGAAAAGAATAAAAGATTTAAAATACCTAGATATAAATTTAATATATAGACTAAATAAGAGTAAAAAGAACTTTCAACATCCTTAGAAAATTCAAAGCAAAAAGATTTTAAAAAAAAGAAGGAAAAGAAGTATATGAAAATCATTAAGGATTGAATTTGTTATAGAACTAAATGATTCAGTTTTTAACTGCAGATAGAATTTAGAATAATCTATAATAATGATCTATAGATAATAATTTTATTAATTAGAGAATTTATTCAAGTTAGTAAAGAAATAAAATATCATTTTTTAAGTTGCATCTAGAGAAATAGTTTTTTGAAGATGAGTGGATTAATATTTGAAAATTAAAATATTTTATAAATATCTTTGTATATATATAATAAAAACATACTATGCTGTCATAACTATAGTTTAAAAAAATAAATAAATAAATAAAATAAATTTACCTTTATTTGTATTATATATTTTTTTTAAATTTAAAAAAAAATCTTTTTTTTATACAGTCAAACCTCATTATATCAAAATTCGTTATACTGAATATTCGTTATACCAAAACAATTATCTCTGCTCTTTTTTTTAATATTTAAACTTAATCATTATTCCGAAATTTAATAATAAACCTCGTTATTCTATTACCGAAGTCTTGAGAACAGGATTTTCATATAAATTACTAGTCACTTTATAACGAATTTCCTTACATAATTATAAATGGTAAATAATGATTGGCTATAGTAAATGATTTTGAAATTTACATGAAATTAACTTTCTGAATCCTGTATAAAAATTCCAGACTTTATAATATCAAACCATTGCTAAATTTCTTCAATTAAAAAATATAATTAGTCTGAATTATAAAGATTAATTTCTAGAAAAAAACTTTTTTAAAAAAAATTTTAATTGAATCAGATATAAAAACTAGTAGATTATGAATGTTTTTTTCTAATTATTTTTTATTATTATAATAAAATCATATGATATTAAATAATGTTCTATGAAATAATAATAGCGATACATTATTATTATAATAAATCATTGATATTCTGCGAGATGATAACATGGGTCAATTAACTAGCATTTAGTTTATAGTTACGGGTAATAGGTCAATTAACTAGCATTTAATTTTATAATTATGGTTCTACCAAACCTGGGTGCCTTCAATAAATCAACCAAGTAATGAGATCCAGCTCTATTTAATTGAATAAGTAAAAAAATGATAAAGGTAATAATAATATTTTACTAATGGGTTGCCCCTCCCACTTATTCTACATCCTCTATATCTTTATATAATGTCAAACTAGAGTCAAGCTTAACAGGATCTTTTTTCTCCACTGATTTTATCTAGTCCATTCTCTTAGCCGTGGTTTCGCTAGATAGTAGGTAAAAACAGTGAGAGCCTTGTTAATTAATTTATACACGTTACTAATTAGATAACAAAGCAATTGACTACATTAAGTGAGTTATAGTTACTTCGCTGTTTACTTGCATTCAGTTAAATTTCTTCATATTATCAGAGTACTGGAAAATCACATTGTGTCAACACTACTTTTCTGACCATCGCAATGATATATTTAATTAGACAGTCAGATTCCCCTTATTCGTGTCAGTTCTAAGCTGGTTGTTAAGCGTGTATCGGACGGGTGATTTCTCACCCAAGCCAAAATCTTCCAGACCAGGCGTCCAAGCTTCCGAAGGCAATTTTTCACCTCCAGTATCAAGGAAATCCCAGACCTTCAAATCAAGGCCCAATACACCCAACCCTTAGAACCAATCCATTTTCCGAAGTTACGGATCTAATTTGCTGACTTCCCTTACCCACATTATTCTATCAATTAGAGGCTGTTTACCTTAAAGACCTGCTGTGGTTATGAGTACGACCTGGTGTAAAAATAATTCTTTCCCTTGGTTTTTCAAGGATCATCGGGAGCACATCGGATCCGAAATATGTGTCGAGCTCTTCCTGTCCTTAAACTTTATCTTCGGGTAAACCGAAATTTCAAGGTTTAATTGATAGTTAAAAAGAAAAGAGAACTCTTCCCGAGACTCTCGCTGATGTCACCAAGTTCAATTACGTTACCGTATTGATAGATCCACATCCAGATGCAGGAATATTAACCTGCTTCCCTTTCGATAGTAGGAACGAAAAAACATTCACATTAAAACGGATTTAACCTATCTCTTAGGATCGACTAACCCATGTCCAAATACTATTCACATGGAACCTTTCCCCACTTCAGTCTTCAAAGATCTCATTTTAATATTTGTTACTACCGCCAAAATTTGCACTGAGTACTGTTCCATCAAGGCTCACACCTGCCTACTTGTTAGAGCTTCAATAAACCCTGATGGTGAGGTATGGGTATCACTCTTGAACGCTATTTATTTTTAGGGCTAGTTCATTCGGCAGGTGAGTTGTTATACACTCCTTAGCGGATTCCGACTTCCATGGCCACCGTCCTACTGTCTAAATGAACTAACACCTTTTGTGGTATCTAAATGAGCATAAATTCTGGTACCTTAACCGCACGTTCAGATCATCCCGCATTACCAATTCTGCTTATCAAAAATGACCCACTAGAAACTCTCATTCAAATGCCCAGGTTTAATAATTAAGTAACCTGAAGCTTCTTTCATATTTAAAGTTTGAGAATAGGTTAAGGCTATTTCAACCCTAAGGCCTTTAATCATTCGCTTTACCTCATAAAACTGTTTAATGAGTTTCTACCCAAATTCGACAATCGATTTGCACGTCAGAATTGCTACGAGCTTCCACCAGAGTTTCCTCTGACTTTATCCTATTCAGGCATAGTTCACTATCTTTCGGATCCAAACAGGTATGCTTATACTTAAATCTATCCTGATTAGTCAATGGTACTTCGCTTAGTAAGAAATAAATACTCTCTACAAAGTCAATAATTAATAAATATATGCGTATATACAAAATAGTAATTAATATAATAAGTAATTCGTTTTTTTAAATTCGTTCAATAAACAAATATTACATTTTATAATTATTTTTATGTAAAAATCAACTAACTATTATTATATACTTCTAATATTACTAATGTATATGACTATGGGAACTATGGCAACATATCACAATGACTTTTTGTAATTATTGTTAATTTGTCAATTTGGGGCTTGCGCGATCAGATGTCAATTATGCATGTTATGTCTTTAATACAGATATATTTTATTAAATAAATTTATTATATAAAAAAAGTAATAAATTACAGTATGTTTTTTTTCAAAATCATATTCAAAAAAAATGTCTCAACAGAAAAATACATAACGAAATATTATTTTAGCATTGCAAAAGCGTGAAATTTGTTTATTAAAAAGAAGCGGATCTGGATCAAAAAATATTGAATTAGCAAAACAATTTGGAATTAGTCAAGGACAAGTTTCCGATATTTTAAAAGAATCCAAGAAATGGTTAGCAATTGATCCAAATTCTTATCAAGCAAACTTAAAAAAAATCTGTTTATCAACCATGGTACATGTTGAAAAAGTATTGATTGTGTGGATCGAAAAGGCACTTGAATGCAATATACAGTTGCTTCCAAAAGTTTGAGTCCACTTACTATGTTTTTATTATAAATTTCAACTTTGACAATTTTT